GTATTCTATGTCTGCCTCTATGTTATAATTCTATGGAGAAAAAAAACAGGTCACAACTTTTTTTAAAGCCTTAGTATCGTACTATTCTAAACTCAAATCTCTGATTAAATTTCTTTTGCAGTTATAGAAGGGGGAGCTTTAATGAATTTTTCATTTCTTTTATATAGTTATATTACCCATTTTCTTGCTATTCTCCATGCTATTACAAGAATAATACTGAATATATGTGACATAATAGGCATTCAGTGAATGTTGACTACATTGGATAAAATATTTTGGGTAGCAGTAAAGTAGATGGGCTTTTTTTTCCTGGTATTTAAGCCTCAATTTCCTCATCTATTAATTTACTCACCTCATGAGTATTTTGAGATTTAAATGGGAACACAGGGTAAGTGTTTAATAAATATTAATTTTTTAAGGATAAAACAACTAAAACAAACATTAAGCAAAGAGAAAAATTAAAAATAATGTACTAAAAGTATACATTTTAAAAAGAAACAACCACATTTAACATGGACATTAAAGTCTTCACATCCAATTAAGAATAACTCATAAATATATAATTTATTATTAAAATCAGTTTTACAGACTTCCCTTGTGGCACAGTGGTTAAAAATCCACCTGCCAATGCAGGGGACATGGGTTTGAGCCCTGGTCCAGGAAGATCCCACATTCCGTGAAGCAACTAAGCCCGTGTGCCACAACTACTGAGCCTACACTCTAGAGCCCGTGAGCCACAACTACCGAGCCCACGTGCCATAACTACTGAAACCCACGCGCCTAGAACCTGTGCTCTGCAACAAGAGAAGCCACCGCAATGAGAAGCCCGTGCACTGCAACAAAGAGTAGCCCCTGCTTGCCACAACTAGAGAAAGCCCATGTGCAACAACGACCCAATGCAGCCAAAAATAAATAAATTTATAAAAAATTATTTTTACTACATCATTAAATTGATTTACTTTATCACATTTTAAGTCTTAAAATCATTTTTAGGAAAAATTCTTTTGAGGGAAAAGCAAAATATATATGTGGGACTATGTAAAAATTTAAATGTACTATATAAGCTTTCAATACGGAATTAATAGTTCTTTTTTTAAAATTTTATTTTTATTTTTGGCTGTGTTGGGTCTTCATTGCTGTACACAGGCTTTCTCTAGTTGCGGCAAGCAGGGGCTACTCTTCGTTGTGGTGTGTGGGCTTCTCATTGCGGTGGCATCTCTTGTTGTGGAGCACGGGCTCTAGGCACGCAGGCTTCAGTAACTGCAGCACGCGGGCTCAGTAGTTGTGGCACGCGGGCCCTAGAGCACGCAGGCTTCCGTAATTGCGGTGCATGGGCTTTAGGGTGCGTGGGCTTCAGTAGTTGTGGCACGTGGGCTCTAGAGCGCAGGCTCAGTAGTTGTGGCGCATGGGCTTAGTTGCTCTGGGGCATGTGGGATCTTCCCGGACCAGGGATTGAACCCATGTCCCCTGCATTGGCAGGCGGATTCTTAACCACTGCACCACCAGGGAAGTCCCAAATAGTGGCTTTTCTAGATACACTAAGAACTTTAAATTTTACTTGATCTAAGGTAACTGCAGTCTTTCTTCTATTTATCTCCAGTTTTTAAAAGATTTTAAAAAGGGAATTCATTCATCTCTTTCCCTGAATCTTATTTCCTGTTCTTATGACATTTGAAAGAAGAACAATCAGTTTTTTCCAAAGTACTTATTAGGATATGTGGGGAATTATCCATTTGTGGTCACCTGGGAGAATCACAGCAATTGATATTGATGTTAATATTACAAAGCTGAGAAGTAATTATAATATTTGGAAGTATTTTGACCTAACTCTAAAAGTGTTAGGTAGAGGAAGAAATTCTTTAGACTTCTATTTTTATTTACAAATCACTTTAAAAAAAGCTACAACATTCATTCTTATTTTTGCTTATACTCCACTTTTGCAATTGCTATCATTTCACCACTAAAACTTAAAAGAAACAAAGAACCATGAAGTAAGATTTGCCATTTGACAAATCTGATTAAACCAAAGGTGTTTGCCATTGAAACCGACTCTGCTCACCCACTCCATCTCAAGTTTACTTTCTGTTAGACAAAATATTACTGTCTTTTCCCAGAAGGAACCCAAACCATTGTCCATTGGAAACAGTTACGTTTTAGACCGTTAAACATTGCAGGGGGTTATAAAATACAAAAATAAGTATTGGTCATTGGAATAGATTTCAAAAGTGTTTGGAATATGTATTCCAAAGACATCTTAGAGTTCTTGGCTAGATTAAAGAAAGATGTTGAAATAGGGAGGAAAAAAAAACTGTTTTGTAACTTGTACTTAGTGTACAAACCTAGCCGCAATTACCAGATCCATTTAAAATGATAATTTAATAAAATCATGAGGTTAGCAGAGAATGAGCACACGGTTTATTCTGAAGGTTAGTCATAGTTTTAAAAAGAATGCTTTTAGTATGCCATCTTTGACATGCCATGTTTGCCATTTGCAGAGAGGACAGACTGTAGAGCTAAACAGACACAGATAGGGATTTAATCCTCTTACTATCTGTAACAATGGGCAAGTAAGGGAGTTAGCCTCTTCCTTGCTCCATGCTGTCCTCTGTAAATGGGAATAATAATGCGTGATGTAGAAGTCATGTGATGGATAATATAATTTTGGTACTCAGTAGAGTAACAGGCACATAGTTGGTGCTTAATCAGTGTTAGGTCTTATTATTTATCCTGACCAGAAACATACATTCAAAAAGCAACTTGTTGTTTTTTTGCTTTGGCCACAACATGTGGCATGCAGCACTTTCCTGACCAGGGACCAAACCTGCACCCTCTGCAGTGTAAGTGCAGAGTTTTAGCCACTGGACCACCAGGAAGTCCAAAACAGCAATTCTGTTTTACTTTTTCTTCTTTTGTGAATTCTCACATCACCATAAAGAGAGTTTACTTCCAAGTAACCTTTTAATTTTTTGAAAGTGGAACAGTGTCACAGTAATTTATAATTAGTAATATTTATTCAACAAATTTTGTCAAATAACTAGTATTCAGAGTCTAATGGTAGGCACCAAAGAGGTAGAAAAATAAGAACACTTTTATTTCAAATAGCTTTTATTCACACTAGGACTAGAGGAAAGTCTAATTCAGTAGAAAACACAAGACAAAAGGAGATCTTTCACACTCTTAAGGAGAATCATGACATTAACAACATCAGCAATAATCTGGAACACGCCATTGAATTTTCCATTCAATATTTTCAAATACAAAAAAAGGAATCAGATAGAAGGTGAACAGTCCATGAGCATGTTCAACAATGGTATTGTTATTAGGTATTAATCCTTTATTAGATAATTATTTTTCACCTCTGGGAAAACATCACTGGCAGCACAATTTTAAGAAGTTTGGCAACACGTATTTTTTTCAGCAGCTCTGGATGATAGATTTTGGTGAATGCTAGCCAAAAAAATTAAGGGCAAAACCACTGGTGCACAGAGGACAACAAACTGATCTTATTACAGAAACAGATATCAGACCACAATATAAAAAACATTTTAATTTTACACTAAGCCAGAAACTCCAGATTATTGGCATACACATCAACAAGCCAGGTCTAGAGTGTTTAATCACAAGAGTGATAAATACTGGTTTTCTGCCTGCTCTGCCCACCTTACTTAAAAATATCAGTATATTTGCTTTCAAATGACACAAACTGCCGAGGCTATAATCTACAAAATGATCACTCACTTTTAACAACATGCCTGTTATACCCAGTCACCACTGAAAGGACAGTTTCATAGAACCCAGCTCTGCTTACCCAGAAAGAGTTTAAGCATCTTACAATTTAGAAAGAGCATATGCAGATTTTTTAATCTAAAAACAAATCTTTGCATATGTAAGGAAGTGCCATTCCTCCTCAGATTTTAGAATTCTTAATTGTTATGTTTTAAAAACTTGTTCCATTTCTACTCAATTTTAAGTTAGTAAAGGCAATAGCCCGATATTGTTGCAAGATCTCTATCAAATGTCATAAAATGCCAACTCCAAGAAAGGGCACCACAATGAAGCCTAAAGGGCATGGCCACAATGTCCCACAACACATTTGACCCTCCTTATTTTATTTGATGTTGCAACATTTGGCTCTAATGTACCTAAGGCCCAAGCAGAAAAATAAAAGCACTTCCGTTTTCTTTGAATAGTCTGGAAATATCTTACTTCCAAATTATATTGATTTAAAAATTTCTCTTTTGTCATTTTTTTCTTATGGTTGGAATTTATGCTTGTGGGTTTGACTCATAAAACATCATCCAGAGGGCAGGAGAAGTCTACATACAATCTTCTGTGTGATAACGCACAAGATAATTAGGTAGTACCAAGAACGGTGGAAAACTATATTTGAGACAAAAAAATTCTGTATTAATGAAACAAATGCCACGTCCAAAACTGTAGACCAAAACACATTAACCTGATTTATCTTTTAAGATAAGAATAGCAAAAAGTCAAGTGGTTCTTGAAAGAAAGAGATAAAAAAAGAAGATAAAAAGTATCTACTAGAGTGTTTATATAAAATGGCACAAAGAAAGCATACCTAGTGATGTCTCAGAAAATAAGTTGCCAAGGTTGCTTCAACTTAGGAAACATAAAGTAGAGATTTAAGAAATTATTCTGATAGTTTAGATACGGCAATTTTGTATTGGCAGTTGGATAAGGAGAGAGGGGTGGAAAGGAAATTATTGGTTAGAAAGATTGGCACTGTACGGTGAATTCACCACATATTTACTAAGTGTTCCAGTTTGAGAATTAAGATGGTTTGAGAAATTGTTTCAACCCTGTTACAACCCTATTACCCTATCATTGAGGTCAAGTCGAAGCAGCCCCAGATCAAGAGTCTAAGGTTCAATTGTCTGACCCAACTATTTCCAGGATATTAATAACTGACTCAGGTGTTGCATAAACTATTACATAAAACCTGCCAGGTGTATCATAGAAAAAACAACAAACTTCCTGTGTGAGTATACCGTGTTCATCTAAAAAATTTATACTCTGGTCACATGACAATCATGCTGTGCTTCATGAAGCATTGATGGAGTAAAAGCAAGTTGGTAGGAGGCAAGGGCTATGATTTTCAATGTAAATATGACCAGGAAAGAAGCCACACATAGGCACCTACATATTTTAGTGAGGGTGTTGATGAAGATGATGTAATACTTACGATACTTCATTAAAAAGGCAGTGAATAGTACAAAATACTGCTGGAGACCAAAATATACTTGTGTCCTTTGTGAACACAAGACACATTTGATGATCATCATGACCATACTGATGATCAGTTTGGAAGACAACAATAAAATGCCTTCATTTCTTAGCATACATCATCTGGTTTTCATTTCTTTTGGAGGTGAAAATGCCCTCTTTATGGAATGGTTGAACAGGTGTGTTGTTTCCTACATCTTCTTTTCTTTTTTTTTTTTTTCTTCTCTTTTCTAAGTCAAGTGATTGCATTCCTGAAGCAGGAAAAGAATGTTAAGATAGATGCTGCTAGAAGTGACAATGTCCAACTCTTGACAGAGTGATTATTTCAAGCTCAGAATGAATCACTTTTAAGACAGAAACCTTTGGCTTGTTTGTTTTTGTGGTTATTAGGCATTTAATACTTCCACTGAGACAAAGTGAGAGTAAACTTTCTAAAGATCGACAGTAAAAAATATTTAAATAAATTGTCTTAAACGTAAATGCTAGGACAAAAAATAAGTATAAAAGTGCTGATTGGAGAGAAATTTTCTCCCAGGAGAACTTCCACTGATCATTTTATTTCACTTCCATATGGAATTTGTAAAGAAACCTAGTAAATCCACAAAGCTTTGAGAATGACCTTTGGAAATAGGACAGTACTGAATTGTTGGGCAAGACCAGCCCTATAGTTTCTGAAATGTTCCTGTGAGGAGATGTTGTCCTGCTTTTAAATCTACCATGTTGCCAGTGAGAGGTGTGGGAGAATTTTGCAAAGGGTTATAGTCAAAACTGAAGGCAAGATTTCAGTTCCTACAATTGATAATGGAAATGCGATTTACAATAGTTTTTCATAAGTATCTCTGTTTTCTCCAAAAGCTGACTTCTATCTCCACTATTGGTGGTGTAAATTTGTTAAAATATTTTAAAATGTTTCATCTCAAAATGTTCTCATTTACTAAGCAATGATTAAATAGCCTCTATTACCATTTGAGGTCCATTTTACTTATTATTTAATAAAACTGTCTGGTTTTCAATTTAATATACAACCCCAGATTGTACTATATAATTGAGAAAATTTTCTTACGTTTTCTTTTTGGACTTATTATCAAATCTTATTAAAGTCCTGGCATTGTTTAGTAATAGATTTCTCAAAAACCTTTATTTTTATTCCTCATATATGAGTTATTATGAGATTGTGAGAAAGCCTATGTGATTATCCTTCAAAGCATGGATCAGAAAGAGATATATTATTGGTAATGCCTAAAGAGGAGTTTTTCTTATAGGCTCTTACACGGAACTATTGTGAGCAATAAAAATTAAATGTATAAGTGAAGAAAACTATACCAAGTGAAACTACCCTTTTAAAAAGTACTGTTCTATTTCAAAAGAAGTGTTGATATTCTCCAAAAGCCTCCATTCTGTCCCTGAGGGCTACATTACATCTTGTAACGATATAATCAAAAAGCACTGGCATTCTGTTCTTACAACTACATTCAGCTGTGATTAATCCTCTCCATAGTTTATCTGTCTCTCTCTGTATCCTAAAGACTCTAACTGCAACCAATTGGGTACCATATCACTTGGAAGGATGTGTGATTAACTCATTAATGTGTCATATTTTAAATCTAAATAACCTTGGAGATGTCCTACTGATTTGGCTTTATCAGATTGATGGCTATGCCTAAGTATGTGGTAAAATAACTGCAGGAAACTTCAGTAAATTAGTATGTTTGCATTATACTGTTTCATTTTCTTATTCAAAATCTAAAAACTATCTGGGACGACTGAGAGGAATAATAGAGATTTGTAATTATGAAGTTGATTTTAAAAAGTCACAATTATGTTTCCACTTACCGTATGTTATAGCTTTCCTTTTTAAAGGGTGGGAGTTGTCTTCTGTTTTTAAGCCTTTGGTTTCTTTAAGTAAAATCTCCTCAAGTAATTACGGCAAAAACAACAAGAGCTAGGAAATATGATTGGCATGAATTTCTCTAAAAATGTCATGGAAAAAATTCATTACTATTGTGAATCTAGATTGACCTTACCCTTATGCAATGAAAGTAATTTTTTAACTAATACTGAGTTACATTCCATTTCAGATTTCCTATTTCAAAGGGTGTCTCAAATTTCTAAGATGTTAAACCAAGTATTGAGCCATTTTTGTATATGTAATAAAAGTCTTTAAAATTAAAATGGTAATCCTAAAAAAACCAAATGCATGAAAAATATGGTCTGACTGTATAACAAAAGGGAGTTATATAATTCTACTTGAGTGAAATCTTTCATCTTTGATTTACAGGTTGGAGTCCTCTTTAACTAAAACCATATTGTCCCATATCTTTCATATCATGGCCTTCCCTAAAACCTTGTTTTAATTAAGGTTTCTTTCAGATTTTTGAATAAAAGCATGACAATCTTCACTTATGGCTTTAATATATCCTTTGAGTTAGGAAAATATATAAAAAGAAACATCAACTCTTTTGAAAGCATTGTCAGATATTAAATACTGCGAGGTATTCTACATCAGTGTCTTTAGGTGTCTGAGTTATACATTGAAATAGAATTTGGGGAGGTAGGGGGATAACCTACTTATATTTAGTAAGTTGCTTTTAATCTCAGAAATAAATGTCCTATATTTTTAGCCTTTAACACTAAGGCAACATGTGTAAAGGTTAAGTTCGTGTTGTTTTTTTCACATGAAGGCACAACTTCAAGGATAACTCAATTCAAGGTGACTTCAAATAAGCAATGCCTTCATTAACACATTTCAAAGATCTAGAAAATTCAGTAACATTGCTTAAGCCCTCAATGGTTTTACAGCTAAAAGAACACATCAGACCAAGCAGCTGTGTTAACCTGGGAAGCAAGAAAATAAACTGAGTCCTCAAAGCTCCTGAGTAATTGGGGAGATTATGGGTAATCCTCGTCTTTTTTTGTAGGAAGGAAGGATGAAAGGCAAGAAGAAAGGAAGTGATGGAAAGCAGAAAAATAAAAGTGAGAGAATAAGTTCTTGATAGATTTGGAACAAATTAAGATGGCCTTTGAAAAGTTATGCACTTTTCAAAGACACTGAAAATCCTCCGTGGAACATATGCTCAGAGCTACTGTCACCAGAGCAAGGGATGTATGAGGGAGGAAGGAGACTTCATCCTAAATCAACTGCAAATCTCCTGTGTGTGAGAACACAGAGAGGGATGTTAGGGAAACAGGGTAATTTTTCTCAAAAAATGTGATATAAAATATTGCACCATTACATAAAATGTGTGAGGTTGCTTTGGCATTGGACTTTGAGATACACTGTGGTTTATTCCGCTGAAAAAAGCCTCATCCTCGTTCCTCCATCTTGGACTCTTCCTAGCAAGAGTTGAACCATATGTTAAAACAAAGGCCAAAAACAAACAAAACAAAACAAAAAAAACCCCCGTGATCTGTCGGGAATTGCTGTCCTTTCATAGCTGAAAGCAAATCCTGTAAACAATTTACGACTGTGTGACAAAAAAGTTCCCAATAAAAAAACTGATCAGAATGTCAGGAATGAGATTTCTCAGGTTTTGCCCAAAATTTCGCTGGCTGTCATACCATCTGTAATTAACAGTATCTAACGCTGTACTGGATGTTTCTAGTTCATACTTTGGGCCTGGGAGTGGGTCACCCAGCATATTAAAAGCACTCTGGAAGCAGTTTCTTCCAATCGTGGTTTACTGTAACTTTAGAATCATAGCGGTTACTTTTAAGGAATCTTTAATGCCCTTTCAAGTCCATCCAAAGAACAAGTGAAGCTGCTGTTCAGAATTTTGTGCCCAGTGTTTATGTTCCATGGAATCTGTGCCACCCAGGCAGCAGACAAGACATGTCTGAGGGTGCTGGGGTGGCGGGGGGATATGCAATGATGTCACACACAGGAAATATCGGGGGTGGGGAAGGCTGGGGAGGACTTGGCGCTTCACAAGGCTGGCTCCTCTTCCATAGGCTCGCCAGCAGTTCTGTAAAAATAAACAGGCAATCAGAATACAGCATAAGAGTACACAATGACATTGTAGATTTTCATGCATAATCAAAGCTGATTTTTCAGCTCTCTCTGATGTTTATTTGTGTTATTCCGTTATCCATAAATAGAGTTTCTTTCCTAGGAAGTATAAACAAATGTCAAGTGGAAAAACATTTTCGATCCAAGCAATCATTGGAAATGTTCCTGTTTATATTAAAACATGTCAGAATATTTTATAACTCTAGATTCCAAAATGTACATGTTTTGTGTCTAGTACAGTCCAATAATTTATTGAAAAAATTAACTATGATATTTTATTTTAGGAGCAATTACAGTGATTTCCTATGGAACCAGTTTGCTAACGAGAGCAAAGGACCCAGCTAGCTTCTGGAGGAGACTCACCAGGGCTCTGGTTTTTTTGCTTCTGTTCTTTCATAACTGGATTGGCTGCCTGCCGGAGGCATTTCAAATCAAATTCTGAATCTGATTAGCAAATCACTGCTACAGACCCAGCGTTTTTACAAGAAACGCACTATGGTAGTGTGTAAATAGTTTTTATTCGGCATCATCTGAGGGGTGTTCTGCTCTGGCAAAACCAAAACTAATTGCTTGAAAATTTATACTTGAGATTTAACCTTAATTTAGTAACACTCTGAGGGTGTTTTAAGGCAAACTTTTAGAATGATTTTTAATTTAGTCAAAAGGACAAGTCGTAGCAGGAATCCAAATGCATGAGGTAGCTGGATTGCTGAGGGAAGAACGCTGGGGTTTGAGATGCCGGGAGAATTGAGTATGAGTCTGGGCTCTGTGATTTGCTAATGTTGCAACTGCGAATGTTGTAACTATACTTCTGTGAAGCTGTGGTTTCATGTTTAAAACCCGTGAGGAAAAAAGATGTTCCTTACAGAATCAGTGAAGGTTAAAAAAATAAAGGAGATAAAATGGACTTCTAAACAATACACACTACGGGGCAGTAGTTATTTAACTCTGGATTTGTCCCCTCATCATCTAACATATGTATAAAACTGTGTTGAATGGTACACAGGTACAGAGTTATGCCTGTGCTACCATAAGGAAATGCAATATTGGGAAGATAGTTCTCTCTGGGTGGTGGAATAATAGGTAGGTGGTTTAAATTTTCTTTTTCATACTGTTTTTCTACTTGCCAGTATTCTATAATGAATTACTTTTCTATTAGAACAAATTGCTATATTTGGAACACTGTTGTTAATGAAGAAAAATGAACAATTTAGCCATGTTATTTTACAGATATATGAAGAAAAAACCAAGATTTCTGTGTATCTACAAATAAGGTAGTTGCCATTTTAATTTAGCATTTTTATAATAAATTTAAAACACTGAAAGATTTTATCCATGGAACAGTAATAAAAAAGATTTTAATGCATCCTCTAAAGAATGAGAAATATTAGGTATTCATTATTTAACATTACTAAAAGGAGAGAGTTCCAAATGAGTCCATGTGGAATACTTAAAAAAAAATTCTTAGGAAGTTATAGCCTGTCCAACAGTATACTGGATAAGGAGGTTGTGAGAAAGTGTTTAGAGCTGCTATATAAGATAAAAGCTATTTAAGTGAGTCATACTCTATTAAAATCTTTCCAAACTAAAATTATCAGCATTCCCACAGGAAAATTTTTAAATTAAGGAAAACATTTAAGTAACTAAACTGATTTATACGTAAACATGCAAACTTATTTACATTTGAGAATATGTGGATTATACAGGTATAGAATCCTCAAACTAGATACTCCAATGGAGACTGAATTCTCCTATTTACTTTTTCCAAACTTTATTGAGATACAGTCGGCATATAACATTGTATAAGTTTAAGGCAATGTGACGATTTACCACAATAATATATCCTTCACCTCCCATAACTACCATTTTTGTTGTTATGATGAGAACATTTAAGATTTACTCTCATAGCAAATTTTGAGTATACAATACAGTATTGTTAGCTGTAGTAATCATGCTGTATATCAGATCCCCAGAACTTATTCATCCTATAACTGGAAGCTTGTACCTTTTGATCAACATCATTCCATCTCCTCTATCTCCCAGCCCCTGTCAACCATCAATCTACTGTTTCTATGAGTTCAACAATTTTTTTCCCAGTTTTATTGTAAATAACTGACAAACCTCACTGTATCAGTTTAAGGTGGAGAGCATGATAGTCTGACTTACATATATTGTGAAATGATTACCACAATAGGTTTAGTTAACATCCATCATCTCATATAGAGAGTTCAATGTTTTTAGATTTCACATATAAGTGAGATCATATTGTATTTATCTTTCTCTGTCTTAGCATAATGCTCTCAAGTTTCACCCATGTTGAACCTTCTTTTTTATGGCTGAATAATGTTCTGTTGTATGTATATACCACATTTTCTTTGTCGATTCATCTATCACTGGACGCTGAGGTGGTTTCCTTGTCTTGGCTATTGTAAATAGTGCTGCAATGAACATGAGAGTGCAGATACCTCTCCAAGATAGTGATTTTGTTCTCTTTGGATATATACCCAGAAGTGGGATTACTGGATCACATGGTAGTTCTACTTTTACTTTCTTGAGGAACCTCCATACTGTTTTCCATAGCAGCTGCATCAATTTACATTCCCATCAACAGTGCAAATAGATCACTTTCTCCATATCCTCACTAATTTGTTATCTCTTGTCTTTTTGATGCAAGCTGTTTTAGCACATGTGAAGTGATATCTCGGTGTGGTTTTGCTTTGCATTTCCCTGATAATTAGTGATGTTGAGAACCTTCCCATGTACCTGTTGGCTATTTGTATGTCTTCTTTAGAAAAATATCTATTCTGGTCCTTTTCCTTTTTTTTTTTTTTTTTTGTGGTATGCGGGCCTCTCACTGCTGTGGGCTCCCCCGCTGCGGAGCACAGGCTCCGGACGCGCAGGCCCAGCAGCCACAGCTCACGGGCCCAGCCGCTCTGCAGCATGTGGGATCCTCCTGAACCGGGGCACGAACCTGCGTCCCCTGCATCGGCAGGTGGACTCCCAACCACTGTGCCACCAGGGAAGCCCCCCTTTTCCTATTTTTAAATTGAGTTAATTTATTCACTTATTTATTGCTATTGAATTGTATGAGCTCCATATATATTTTGGATATTAACCCCTTATCAGATACATGGTTTGCAAATATTTTCTTGTATTTCATAGGTTGCCTTTTCACTTTGTTGATTCTTTGGCTGTGCAAAAGTTTTTAGTTTGACGTCATTGCACTTGCTTTTATTTTTTAGTAAATTTATTTATTATTTTTAATTTTTGGCTGCGTTGGGTCTTCGTTGCTGCACGCGGACCTTCTCCAGTTGCGGCGAGCAGGGGCTACTCTCTGTTGCGGTGCACGGGCCTCTCACTGTGGTGGCCTCCCCTGTTGTGGAGAGTGGGCTCCAGGCATGCGGGCCTCAGCAGTTGTGGCTCGCGGGCTCCAGAGCGCAGGCTCAGCAGTTGTGGTGCATGGGCCCAGTTGCTCCACAGCATGTGGAATCGTCCCGGACCAGGGCTCGAACCTGTATCCCCTGCATTGGCAGGTGGATTCTTAACGACTGTGCCACCAGGGAAGCCCCTGCACTTGCTTATTTTTGCCTTTTTTACTTTTTCTTTTGTTGTCATATCCAGAAAATTAATTGTAAAGACCAAAGTCAAGGAGCTTTTTTTCTTTGTTTTCTTCTAAGAGTTTTATAGTTTCAATTCTTACATTTAAGTTCTTAATACATTTCCAGTTAATTTTTGTGAGTGGTATAAGGTAGGGGTCCAGTTTCTTTCTTTTGCATATGAATGAATGTCCAGTTTTCCCAACACCATTTATCAAAGAGATTATTGTTAGCACATTGAGTATTCTTGACTTCCTTGTCAAATATTAGTTGACAATATATGTGAGGGTTTATTTGTGGGCTCTCAATTCTGTTCCATTGGTCTATGTGTCTGTTTTTATGCCAATGCCATACTCTTGATTACTACAGCTTTGTAATATTTGAACTCAGGATGTGTGAAGCCTCCAGCTTTGTTCTTGCTCAAGATTGCTATGGCTATTCAGGGTCTTTGGTAATCCCACTGAATTTTAGGATTTTTTTTCTATTTCTGTGAAAAATGCCATTGGAATTCTGAGAGGGATTGCATTGAACCTATCAGTGACTTTGAATAGTGTGGATGTTTTACCAATATTAACTCTTCTGATACATGAATGTGGAGTAGCTTTCCATTTATTTGTGTCTTCTTCAATTTGTTTCATCAGATCTTACTGGTTTTGGTATATAGATCTTAGTTTTTATCCTGAAAGTTTACTGAATTCATTTATTATTACTAGCCATTTTTTTTTTTTTGGTGGAGTCTTTAGGATTTTTTACATACAAGTACAGGATCATGTTAAGAAACCCTTGTCTTGTTTCTCATCTTAGAGGGAAATCTTGCAGCTTCTTACTGTTGAGTATGAATGATGTTAGCTGTGGGTTTGTCATATATGGCTTCTATTATGTTGAAGTATGTTCCTTCTATACCCAATTTGGTTGAGAGTTTTTATGATGAAAGAATGTTGAATTTTGTCTGCTGCTTTTTATGCATCTATTGAAAAGACAATGATTTTTATCTCATTAATGTGGTGTATCACATTCATTGATTTGCATATGTTGAACCACCCTCGCTCCCAGGGATAAATCCCACTTGCTCATGGTGTATGATCTTTTTAATGTGCTGTTGAAATTGGTTTGCTAGTATTTTGCTGAGGATTATTGTATCTATGTTCACCAGGGTTATTGGCCTATAGTTTTCTTTTCTTGCGGTATCCTTATCTAGCTTTGGTATCAGGGTAGTGGCTGCATAAAATGAGTTTAGGAGTGATAGATTCCCTAAATCAGTAAATCAGATATTCAGATACAAATGACGAGTCCCTGGTCAGGGAACTAAGATCCTACATGCTGCAGGACAACTAAGCCCACGCGCCACAAGTGCCGCAAC